TGCAAACCAGGCAAGGTATTAAGCTAAAACTTTGCAGGCATATTATCTGTGCATGCGCGAGCTAAAGATTTCAAATTCCAGCTGTCGCGTACGCTTGTGCAACGCGTACGATTACGTCAAAGTTTGCAAGTTGGCACAGAAAACTTGCTGGAATACAGTGGCTGAAATTTTTGGTCATTTTTGTCGCCCACATGGAAAATCGTAAATGAGTACACATTTTCACTTGCGCCGCTGCGCCGCGACTTAGGGCATTTCATAGATAGTTGTAACAAAGTGGCTGTTTTGTTTACCGAACAAGGTGCGAGGCTGAAACATCGTTGGGATATTCTACTTTCAAGTGCGATCTTAATTATGCTTGAAAGTGAAGTTCCCTGCAGGTGGGCATGAGTGATACTTAATTTTACCGAAAAACATTTTGCAGCGAAAGACCGCCGACATTTTGCAGCGAAAGACCGCCTTCATCCTCTCTGGGAGAGGATATGTTAATGAGCTCGTTTACATATTTGATGGACGACTGCCCTAGCAACATTTCCACTTTTCAGTAAACTAAAAATTTGCAGATTTTCGAAGAGCGAGCATTTACCAGAAAAACAACAAGGCTCCAAGCAAACATAGGCTGAGACGCACCAGACTTGCCGGTGCGATTATGCGTTTTTGCACTGAACTCGCAGATTGCTAATAGCAGGAATAGTCCCCGCCCTATAGCCTGACGCTTGAGTCGCGCTCTGGTCGCTTCCGGCATGCAGGAGAAAGGGCGTCGGTTGGAATGGAGGTGTTGCATTACTGGACCACATGGACATCCAGGTACCATGATTACCAGTTTTTATGCGTTTTTGCCGCGCAGCGCTACTGCAACAGGCAGCAAAACGCATACTGCAACGGCCCTGTCAGAGTGTGTGTCTGTTTGTGTGTGTGTGTGTATGTTTGTGTGTGTGTGTATGTGTGTGTGTGTGTGTTTCGTTTGTCCGGGTATTTCAACTCGCTAACCACGCAAGCTTTGGAGCTGAAATTTCGCCAGTGTCTTCCCCAACCACGTACCATCCCAGGATCGCGGTTTCAACCTTCACGCGCGTCTGGGCCCCGCGTACGAGCACGTGAAAGTTTTGGAGCGAAAATCGCTAACTCGGAAACGAGAAAAGCTAAAAAGCTGAAACCTTGGGAGAATTTTCCCTACCCATGTATGACAAAAAGATTTCAAATTCAGCTGCCTAGGAGTGCCCGGGGCTTACGTACGGGTACGTGAAGATTATGGCGGTAAAAATTCATAACTCGAGAATGAGAAAGGCTAGAAAGTTGAAACTTTGGGGGAATGTTCCATACTCATGCACGACCAAAAGCTTTCAAACTCAGCTTCTTAGGACCGCCAGGGGCTCACGTACGGGCATGTGAAAATTTTGGTGCGAAAGTTACTAACCCGGGAACGGGGAAAGCTAGAAAGCTGAAACTTCAAGGGAATGTTCCCTACTCATGTACGGGCAAAATCAATGTTTAGAAGCACCCGGGGCCCACATACGAGCGCGTGGAAATTTTGGCGCGAAAATTACTAACCTGGGAACGGGAAAAGCTAGAAGACTGAAACTTTAAGGGAATGTTCCCTACTCACGTACGAGCAAAATCAGGTGTTTAGAAGCGCCCGAGCCCATGTGCGAGGGCGTGGAAATTTTTGCGCGAAAATTGCTAACCCGGGAGCAGTAAAAGCTAGAAAGTTGAAACTTTCGGGGAATGTTCCCTTCTTATGTACGAGCAAAATCAGGTTTTAAGAAGAGCCCGTGCGCACATACGAGCGTGTGGGAATTTTGGCGCGAAAATTACTAACCCGGGAATCGGAAAAGCTAAAAAGCTGAAAATTTAGGATAATGTTCCCTACTCATGTATGGCCAAAAGATTTTGAATTCAGCCCATCAAAACCATACAGTACTCATGTACGGACACGTGAAAATTTTGACGGGAAAACTGCTAACTCAGAAACGGGAAAAGCTGAAGGCTTTAATTTTAAAAGAATGTTTCCTGCTCATGTGCGACTAAAAGATTTTAAACTTGACTCTTCTAGTGTGGCCCTTTTTTGCGGACCAGTAACTTTTCATTTGTCGGGTCACTGAAGTCGACACCTACAAGTGACATACCATGTAGCTGCGCAATTAACTTCTCAAATTTCGAGGGCCAGTATTTCACAGGGTTAACTACTCTGATTCCTTGCCGTCTTGCTACGGCACGAAAAGTGCAAAAACGCATAATCGCACCGGCCCGTCTGGCGCGTTCCAGCTTGGGTTTGTATGAAACCCGGTCGTTTTTTTGGTAAATGCTCGCTTTTTGAAAAAATGAAAAATGCAATTTTTGAAAATGCAAAAATTTTAGTTCTTTACTGAAAAATGGAAATGTTGCTAAAGCAGTCGTTCGCCAAAAAGTTCAAGTATGTAAATGAACTGGAGATTGGGAGAGGATGAGGCAGTCGTCCGCTGCAAAATACATCCGTTTTTAAGTATATGGTAAAGTTGAGTATTGTTCTTACCTGCCTGCAAGGAATTTCATTCCAAGCAGAATTAAGACGACGCATGAAAGTAAAATATCCTAGAGAAGTTTCAGCCTTGCACTTTATTCGGTTAACGAAATAGCCACGTCGCTATAAATATCTTTTAAGTGCCCTGGTGCAAGTGCAGATCGGAACTCAGTTTAGGTATACGATTTCCCATATGGGCAAACATGCTAACAAAATTTCAGTCATAGTTTTTTGGCAAGTTTTCGAGTTGGATTAGTGCCATGCACAAACTTTGACTGATCGTACGCGCTGCACAAGCGTGCGCGACAGCTGGATTTGAAATCTTTAGCTCGAACATGCACAGAGAATATCTTTGCAAAGTTTCAGCTTTGTACTTTGCCTGATTCGCGAAATCGTTCCCCGCCAAAGAAGCCTGTGTATTCTTTTCGGCGTTCCGTACGCCGGATCTAGGCGCGTATGAGCGAAAATTTTATAACGGGAGGATGACACACTGATAGGAACATACACCCAAAATTTCAGTCTCTCAGCTTTTTTGGTTTCTGAGATGAAACCGGGTGACAAAATTCACTCGCTTTCGAAAACACACACGCATAGACGACTCTCGACAGTTTGCGTTTTTATTTGCTGTAACAGCGCTGTAGCGCTGCACAGCAAAACGCATATAAAAACGAATTAACAAAATTTGTAAGGACAGTTTGGTGAAAAAATTTCTGGAAGAGCTGTAACTGTTAGACTTCCGAGGTTTTGAAACTTCCCTCGAAAAACAAATCAAACTATCAAGAATGGGAGACCAAAGAAGCAAACGAACATGCCTTCCTCATAAGGCGATTTTTGTTGGAATATGAAGTGGCCTGTCCATCACGTCAGGTCCCACAGTGCAGATCCCATTTATTTTATTAAACAAACGTCGAGAAGCGCATAAAAAGTGATTGAGAAAAGACGACAGAGCCGATCACATCCACAGCTTTGCTTGTTGTCAGGGATAAATCCTAATTCTTCGAAATTTTAATTGCGTGGAATGGACGGAAGTATAAAAACGTAACCAGCGAAATCCCTAGACTCGCTCTTAAAACTCCAATCCTTAAAATCTTTCATTAGGCAGAAATTTTCTTTTCTGTCTCTTCAAACTTTAAATTTTTCTTGTTTTCATTCTTTTTTACTCAGTTTCTCTCTTTTGTCACCTCCGGATGCGCATAAGTGTAAGATTTTACCACCAAATGGACCGCATGGCTCCCAAACAAAAGTTCATTACTTGATTAGACGACTATTTAATTCGCTGAAACATGTTCAGAAATTAAAGCGTGTTCCAAAAACTTCTAAAATTTCAGCTTTCAAACTTTTCTAGTTGCTGAGCTGAAAGAAGATGACAGAATCTGCATACAGACATACATACATACAAAGGCAAACTATTGCGAATGTGCATCTTTGCATCTGTAGAGATGTGCTAAAACGCATAAAAAACTGTGAACAAGTCGCAAGCCATCCTGCGCTCGATTCTAGTTCGAGTCCACGCAAATTTCAGTAATCTCAGAAGAAATAAGCTGGAAACTTAAAATTCCGAGATTTTCGGATTTTACAGCGCCTACGCTTAACGCCTCCATACACTCTGAAACTATACTTTCAAGTGGAGTGAAGCGAGAATTCGAGATGACAGTGCTTTCAGTTTGACAGTTATGCTAAAAAATTATCAATGCAAGGTACGATATATGTTGTCGGCTCATTCGCCAGTTATATGATCGAATGTGTGTTCAAAAAATTTGCAGTTTACTGCATAATGAGAACGGTGAAATCTCAACTGTATGTTTAAGCTTATCTATGTAGGTTTAAGCTTATCTATGCGTGTGTGTTTTTATCAAATTGTTTAGTGCCGGAAAAGAGAAAGCTGAGATCTTGCCATTTTTTGCGGCTCACGGCTGATTTACTGAAAACCAAATTACAGATTTCACAGCCTTAATCCTAGTTTTTACTGTGCAGAAACGCAAGGCTAAGTGCTTCCGCTTATTTTAAGCATCATTTGCACTTCCCGGATATAACTTTGAGCAACTGCCAAAGAAATCATAGCTGCGAAATTTTTCAATTTGCTTAATATCTACGAATGAACATAGACAAACCAAATGGCATCTGGGGATTGTATCTGTCGGTCTAAAGTATATGAAAAGTGGCCCTCTTTTTGGAAGGGTAGAATAAATTTGGAGCCTAAATCGGATGAAATTGTTTTCTGTTCTAAAAAATAAGGTCATTCTTTCTCAAAGCATCGCTCGTTGTTCGAAGCACTTTTGTTTAAAATTTCTTATGTGTAACATAAACAAATAAAAGATTATTGAAAATTTTTTGTGGCACATTTTGAAAGAATTACGCTAGTAATGCAAGCTTTCAGCAAAACTTTTTTGCAGAGCTATAGTTTCGAAAAATTGTGCATTCAAAAAAAATTACGCGTTTGCAACTCAAACACGAACCCATAAATGAGTACATACTGCGCGGCCGAGCCGAGCCAAACCGAGTTTTAGTAGCCGTTCAGAGGCGCTCTAAGCATTCTTCGCTCCATTGCTCTCCCAGTTACAAACAGCGCTCGTTCTTTAGCTTTTGTGAATGAGGACGTTTCACATGCCTGCATCATTGCTTCCAACACAGCTGAATGAAAGAGGTGAGCATGGCCTTTCTGGTTCGACATTTTGAGGAAATCGGCAATACTGTGAAAATCGTGAAAACATACAGCTCTTCGACGTTCATTCTTCATCTGGAGGTTATGAAATACTTTGTTCGAGATAGGTGTAATTATCAACTTCCGAATCCACATGGTCTTTGTGCAATCTTGCTGCGGGCATGCCAAAACTTTGCATCGCTTTCGTTTCCGATGCCTTGATTTTCAAGCCCACTTCCTTATTCCGTGTACTGAGCTCCTGCATCATCTTGTCCATTTTGTGAAGGGCTTCCAGCAGTATAACTATGCCATCCGCACTGCATAAGTGATTTAGCTGCTCGCGATTGATCTTCAGACCTCCTTTCCAATCCAATTGCCGAAATACCATTTTGACGTAAGGGATGAAAGCTTGAGCGACATAGGCTTGCAGTGCCTCACTCCCCTCTCGTTGTGTGAATACTAAGATGGAGGAACGTCTCTGTCGAGCGGCCTATGTTCGCTTCCTTTGACAGTTTCCACATAATTTCTATTAATTCCTCCAATTACAAGAGGTCGTAACACAACATTCAGCAGTACATTATCGAATGCTTTTTCATAGTCGGCAGAAAGGCGACAAAAGGATAGAAATTAATCTTTTGTTCCAGCAGTAATTACTCGAGAATCCGGCTTGCTTTCTCGGCTGCTCGTTGAGGAATTTTGTTAGTCAGTTAGTTCGAATCTTCGTAAAGAGCTTGTAAATATGGGAGAGTAAGCAAATTGTGTGGTCATTCTTTAAATCTTTTTTATCGCTTTTTTCTGTGCAGCAAAACTGTTTTCGACTTCTTCCAGCTACTGGCTAGTTTTCTTTCGGCTAAGTACCAACAGAATCA